CATGGCAGTTATGTGACCACCTCTACATAACCATTAGAGTATCCGCTGTTAAGGTCTTGCATCACTTTGTTCCTGGTCAACCTGCTTCCAACTGGAGCTGTGTAAAAGACGAGACAAAAGACTTAGGGACCTGCCCGGTACGCTGTGCGTGTTAGTGGCTTTACAAGAATGTAACAACGTCAGTGCTTTGTACTCTATAAACCCAATGTACCTTCTTGTATATAAATTAATAAAATAAGTCGATATAGGCGTCAACAACACTTCATTTCTACCGGTCATGCAATCGCTACAAACTTATTTTATTTATTTTCATTACAAGAAGGTACAATGGGTTTGAGAGTACATAACATTGGTATTTTTACATTCTTGCAAAGCTACTAACATCCTTAGGTTTTCTTTTCTGTACATTCTTACGTTTGTTCTTGACTGTCTTATAGGCGATCTGTGCTACTGTTCTCCAGTAGCATTTAGCAGCTGAATTCCAGGTATTTTGACATTAAGTTTCACGAAAGCAATTTGCCTTGGCTTCAAATTAGGCTGTGGTTAACAGATGTAATTGGTAGAGCGGAATGATTGTAAAATTATCTACGCTTTATTAATAATGCTGAACCACTAGATTCCCTCTTCCAGGCAAATGAACAGGGACTATTTTGACTATCGGATAAAACTATTACTGTTGATGACCTGTTAACTCTCCATCCTCTCAAATCAACTGCCACGGTCCTTCTTAAATTTACTCAACTACGAATTGGTGGCCACGCTTGAAAATCCTTGGCTGTGGGGGGGGGGGGGGTTCTTGATAGGATAGTTTGCCATCACCGCTCCTGTGCCTATCCTATATGCTTCGTGATTAATAAAAAATGTCAGTGGGACAGGCAGCCAGTTTATGCATACAGTATATGTTAGGCTTGTATCCAGGTCCTCTCCCTCCCCCCGCCCCCCCCCCCAGGGTCGAATAACCCCCCCCAGGGTCGAATAACCCCCCCCAGGGTCGAATAACCCCCCCCCTCCGGGTTGAATAACCCCCCCCCTCCGGGTCGAATAACCCCCCCCCTCCGGGTCGAATAACCCCCCCTCCGGGTCGAATAACCCCCCCCCGCGTCGAAACCCCCCCCCCCCAGGGTCGAACCCCCCCCCCCGGGGCGAATAACCCCCCCCCCAGGGTCGAATAACCCCCCCCAGGGTCGAATAACCCCCCCCCGAGGGTCGAATAACACCCCCCCCCCTCCACGAGGGTCGAATAACACCCCCCCCCCCCACGAGGGTCGAATAACCCCCCACGAGGGTCGAATAACCCCCCACGAGGGTCGAATAACCCCCCCAGGGTCGAATAACCCCCCCAGGGTCGAATAACCCCCCCAGGGACGAATAACCCCCCCCAGGGTCGAATAACCCCCCCAGGGTCGAATAACCCCCCCCCAGGGTCGAATAACCCCTCCCCCCCAGGGTCGAATAACCACCCCCCCAGGGTCGAATAACCACCCCCCAGGGTCGAATAACCCCCCCCAGGGTCGAATAACCCCCCCCCCGGGTCGAATAACCCCCCCCCCGGGTCGAATAACCCCCCCCCCAGGGTCGAATAACCCCCCCAGGGTCGAATACCCCCCCCCCCCAGGGTCGAATACCCCCCCAGGGTCGAATACCCCCCCAGGGTCGAATACCCCCCCAGGGTCGAATAACCCCCCCCAGGGTCGAATAACTCCCCCCACCAGGGTCGAATAACCCCCCCACCAGGGTCGAATACCCCCCCCAGGGTCGAATAACCTCCCCCCCCAGGGTCGAATAACCTCCCCCCCAGGGTCGAATAACCCCCCCCCCAGGGTCGAATAACCCCCCCCCCCCAGGGTCGAATAACCCCCCCCAGGGTCGAATAACCCCCCCCAGGGTCGAATAGCCCCCCCCAGGGTCGAATAACCCCCCCCCCAGGGTCGAATAACCCCCCCCCCAGGGTCGAATAACCCCCCCCCAGGGTCGAATACCCCCCCCCCCAGGGTCGAATACCCCCCAGGGTCGAATACCCCCCAGGGTCGAATAACCCCCCAGGGTCGAATAACCCCCCAGGGTCGAATAACCCCCCCCCAGGGTCGAATAACCCCCCCCAGGGTCGAATAACCCCCCCAGGGTCGAATAACCCCCCCGCCCAGGGTCGAATAACCCCCCCCCAGGGTCGAATACCCCCCCCCAGGGTCGAATACCCCCCCCCAGGGTCGAATAACCCCCCCCCAGGGTCGAATAAACCCCCCCATGGTCGAATAACCCCCCCCCCACCAGGGTCGAATACCCCCCCCAGGGTCGAATACCCCCCCCCCAGGGTCGAATAACCCCCCCCCCAGGGTCGAATAACCCCCCACCAGGGTCGAATAACCCCCCCACCAGGGTCGAATAACCCCCCCACCAGGGTCGAATAACCCCCCCCCCAGGGTCGAATAACCCCTCCCCCAGGGTCGAATAACTCCCCCCCCCAGGGTCGAATAACCCCCCCCCCCAGGGTCGAATAACTAACCCTCCTCCGTATTCAACCCCCACATTAACCTGACTAACTCCACGGACCTCGGTACCTATTTACTGCTAGACGAACAGGCCTGATGAAATGTGCCAAACCATCTGTCCCGCGCGGGATTCGAACCCGGAATTATAGAGCTTGAGTAGAGAACGGTCCCAGAGAACGGCCTCCAACTCTGGCCCCAGACATCACTCGGTACCCCTACTCAAATCTCTGAATATGTTAGATATTAAGTCACTGCACATTCTCTCATGTGTATTATACATATATAAAACGCTGAGCTGTAATGCCAATCCTGACCTCAAAAGATTCATAGAAGGTTGTAACAGAACCCATGAGCACCACACCAGAAATAAATACAGTTTTGATATTCCAAGAGTACGACTTAATCAAACTAGAAATGCTCTACAAATCAAGGGGCCCAGAATGTGGAATGACCTTCCCAATCATGTTAAAGACTGTACCTCTCTCAACCAGTTTAAGATAAAAACTAAACACTACCTAATAAATTCCCTGTAACCTACCTTACCCCTATATTTTCAACCCACGTCTGTGTTTTTTTTTTTTTTTTAAACAATGCTGTTTGTCGACCTAATTGTATTTGTGCTGCCTTTTCTGCCATGTTCCCCCCTTTTTTTTTATTTTTATTTTTAATTGTTCTCAACACATTTTATACTTTAACCTCAATTAGTATTAAGTTTTAGTCTTTAATGTTTTTCCTGCCCGAAACGCTTTGCGTAATAGTGGCTTTAGGCATTATATATACTAGCTCTATCTATAAATCTATAAATTGTTGTAAAATCTCTTGTATATATGTACCAATTACCTGAATAAACATTTATTTATTTATTATTTATAACGAATCCGATTGTACAACGGGGACCCCTTGAATTAAATTACTTATTACTATTATAAGGTAGAGGGGGTTTAAGAAGGCAAGGGGAGGTAGAGATGAGGGGGGAGGGAGGGAGAGATGAGGGAGGGAGGGAGAGAGGGAGGGAGAGATGAGGGAGGGAGAGATGAGGGAGGGAGGGAGGGAGGAAGGTAGGTAGAGATGAGGGATGTGATTAGTCTTGGTGTTTTTCCCTGCCCGAAACGCTTTGCGTAATAGTGGCTTTAGGCATTGTATGTACTAGCTCTATCTATAAATCCATCAGAGTTTGTATCACACCTTGTATGTATGTACTTTACCTGAATAAACATTTGAATTTGAATTTTTGAAGAACTTTGTTCTGAAAGGGGTAAGTGAGTACTGCTCAATACTAAAGATGGAACAACAACAGTGATTTAAATAGTACACTATTAGCATTGCTGTGGGATCCCTGGACTTGAACGTTTCAGAATCTATCCTTTGATTTTCCTGGCTGCCGCCGCTATATTTGCTTGGTTATGTTCACTAAATGTCAGGTAGTCAGACATCTTAATTCTCAGATCTTTTATATTTAGTTTTTCTTCTATGAGTAAGTCAGATGGTGTCCCCCTGTGTTTCGTTTTTCCTCGTTTCTACCATACCTAAATATGTACCTGCAACTTATCACTGTTAAACATGTTATTCTCCGTTGCCCAAAGACTTCATTAATATCAGCTTGTAGTTTTTCAGTTTTCCTACAATTTCCTACAGAGGATATTTCCATGCCATTTTTTTTATATAATCTGCAAAGGATGACTGTGACTAATATTTTTTCTATCAGAAATAAGAATGAGATCACGGGAACTGAGCTTTTCACTGCGGTTAGACTTGTCTTATTTGATCGACTGTTACTCTTTGCATTCTGCTAGAGTTGAAAATCTAATGCCCCGTTTGACCCGTTATTCCCACTGATGTTATTCGTTATTCTCTTGTGACTTAAATATTGTGTAACATTTTTATATGGGCTATCACTCCATGGTCACACTTATCAAATGCCATTGCAAAAGTCTGTGTATACAACATCTGCATTTTAGTTTTTCTTCTAATGTTTGTGGTTTTGTCATAATGGTCAAGTAACTGTGAAAGACAGGATCTTCCCACTCTGAATCCATGTTGACCTGGGTTGTGAGGTTTTCTATAAAATTGGAGATTTAATTCCAAATCACTCTTCCAAAAAAATTTTGTGTGATGGTAGTGCAACTGGTCGAATGTTTTTTTGCCAAAGCTTTATTACCTCGCTTGTGTAGTGGAACTGAATCTGCTAAATTAAGTGTAGAGGTGGAGGTGGTAGAGTAGAGGTGGTGGTGGCAGCAGAGAGGAGGGGACATAGAAAAGAGGGAGGGAAAGGGAAGAAGTTTTATTATAGGAATACTGTATAGGATTTATGAATAGTGTTTGTATCTACTGAATATATTTTTCTTTGAGTTTGGCCTGTGCTCAAAACGGTATGAATAGTTAGTGGCTTTATAAAATACAGTACTGTATACAAATACTGTATATACCTATTAACAACTAAAATAATGTTAATGTTTTGTATTTATAAGTAGAATATTATGACTTTTTTA